GAACAATAGTAGAAGGTGGGTCACACACAACAGCAATCCCGCCACCCCGCGAGGCCGTGGGTGGATATTTCGGGGAGTTGAGGTCCACACATCTTCAAGCTGCCAAGGTTGAGAAACACAGCTCTAATCTTATGTTCCCAATACAACATATTCTAATGTGTTGGAGTTCAGTTCCCAGAATTCCTAGCCAGTGTGGTTGAGGATTCTGGAAGTTGAAGACCAGAACATTAGAGAACACTATTCCAGGTAGACAGAACACCATCTCCATCCCCAAATGATTCCAATCCCAATAGAAAATACAGACAAAAACCCAGTGCAATGTTAATATTCCCAACTATGTCAACCTAAGATTACCATCCCCATCAGAAACCACTCCTGGGAATTCACCTTCCCCTAGAAAAGTGTGCACATGTGTACATATATGTATGCCAGAAGTCACACCCTGGAAAAGGATATAAGCAGGATAAACATAAGTCACTGAATTAATAATATATTATTCAAATTAATTGCCTGCACATAAGGTACCTCATTTGTAACGTTAACTCATCCTCCATCTGCATACATCAACCCTTCTTTCTCTTATACACACATACCCACACAGCCACACACTTCTCTCCCTTCTTGCAGCAGAAGCAGCAAACAAGAAAAAAAGGAAAAACACAGGATAGAATCAGAGTAAGAGGAGGGCTAGCTGTATTGAGAAGGGAACAGGAAGAAGAATTTGGTGGTGGTGGTGGTGGAGGAGGAGGAGGAGGAGGAGGAAGAAGAAGAAAGGAGGAGAAATAACTGGATGAGAGTTTTGTAATCCCTGCACAGGCATTACAATAAAGGGTTAAATTCACCAGGCAAACAGCTCTTCCCAGGCAACAGCTGTCTTTCAAAGGCATCAGCCCATTCGTGCAGGCCAATGTTTTATTTTTCTCAGCAAATGCAGAACACCTGATTCCCAATTCACCGATAATTATTGGAGATGGACTCTTCCTCTGTCATTATTTGGCTGTTTCAGCGTTTTAACTCTACAGACAGCAAAGAGTATTGTAACTGTCTCTGCTCACACAATGCTAAGGCACTGAAGCAGAGGAACATAAACAGGAAATTGGGCAAAGTGATTCTGTCAGCTGAGGACTCCCTCAAAATATCACCCTTAAAAAAAGAAAAACGGTAGTACAATTGCTATCTTGACAACGTCTGTGGTTCTTCAACTGGCAAATCAATCACTAGCTCCTGTCTCCTTGTTACAAACTGCAGAAGGGGGAGGTGGATCCTCTGGTTCTCCAAATATTTGCTGAACTAAAATCCCCAGCAGCCACAACCAGCAAAGCCAAAGAAGAGAGATGCTGGGAGCTGTGGTTCAGCATCTGGAAAGCTGGTGGTTCCTGTTATGGCATGTAAGCCTCAGTTTGTATAAAACATTTAGTGTGGTAACCACCAGTGATAGCTCCATAGAGCAGAAGTCAACATAAGACATTAGAATGATCTTAATGAGACAACCCCTTGTCAAGGCATCCAAAGAACACCTCTGTGAAATGTCTTCTGCTTTCATGAAAAATCTATACTGTCTGTGAAATTCCAGATGAATCCTTTTGGTTATTCTGGTGTGGCTGTTAAAGTCACGCTGTGTCACAGAAACATGGTGTCATGCACTTTCATTATGTAGCACTTGCGGAAGATGGTCCAAAGATCTTGGCCCACTTGATGGGGCTCTGTAGGCCCCTGCTTCTTAACAACATCCTATGACTCCCTTATCCTTCTCCACTCTGCTGCTTCTTTTCCCCAGCACCAAAATCATAATGCTAAACATATGAAGGTTCAGGATATCATCATCTGGTTGGTCTTACAGAATGAGAGATGAAGATAAGTCATCTCAGCATACATTTAGACCAGCATTTTGATCACCCTTAAAACTTGCCAAATCTAAAAGGGAGAATACCCTTTGCTATTTGAAGCAAAGGCAAGTTGTTCAAAGAAGACCTGGATGTCATGTTCAAAAATGACAGATGTCTCTTTCTCTGACTACTGGTAATGGGGCAGTCTTCTCTTGTTGAGGATTGGAGCTGGGTTTGAGGGCCAAGAGAAAGTCATGGATCACAGAAGTGTGAGTCCATTCTTTGCTGCTCAGCATCAGCCACCCAAGGTTGCCACCTCACTCTGCCCAGCAATAGGGCCCATCATGGTTGAATATCTATTTCAAAATGCTTCTGATGGGGTGTCAGACAGATTAAAGTCATAATGATCAGAGAAAACAATCATAATGATCATTCCTTCATAAGCTTAAGCTAAGTTTTTAAATTAAATTGTTGAACATGCCATAATGATCCGGTTTGCACATACCACTAAGCTGCAATACACACAGTAGGTTCATATATCACGCCAAGCTGAAACCAAATCACCCTGTGATTTAGTGCAGTGTATAAACACAGCCAACATGCCATAAAAGGCCCCTTTTTTTACTTTCCATGTATAATTTTAGAAGGGAAGGGAATAAGCCTATACAGAGTCAAATCACCGATCCCTTTATCTTGGTATCATTTCTACACTGCAAGGGTTCAGAGAGAAGCTTTTCCCAGCTGAACATGGAGATGCTAGAAGTGAAAGTGAAACCTTCTACTTGGAATGCAGGTATCATCATCTCACACTATGGCTGTTCTCAAAGCATTCTGCCAGTACTATAATATAGCTATTCCACTGTCATTCACCCATGACCCTCAGAAGATCTGCAGGTGGATCACACCTTCTGCTGGAGCAGTAGGGAGAGTCCAAAGTGTAAAAGTTAAAAGAAAAAGAAAAAAAGTAGCCTTCTCTTTTCACATCTACCTGGGTCCTTGCTTCCTCTTTTTCCTGGCTTCCAGTGGAGCACTCAAAGAACACTGGAAACATTAAATATTACATTTATAACCACTGTCAAATAGCTCAGAAGCTGCTTCTTTATAATCCATCCTTCCTTCCTTCCTTCCTTCCTTCCTTCCTTCCTTCCTTCCTTCCTTCCTTC